AATACCTCTTTCAACCTCGCCTGGCTGCTGACGCAAGAGACATTTGGCGTCTCTTTTCCGCGTCACGAATGATCTCAGCAGATAACTTCAGGCTTGGTGCAAGCCGCGCATACCTGCCAACCTCCGTTATAACGTTAAATATGATCCCGTCTAGCTGAGTCGCCGGAGGCAATAGTGATGAGAGAGTCGGTGACATGGTTGCCCCCATGATTAACAACGCCTGTGAGACCATGGAAAGGGCACCTTGCCAGAGGTACGGCAGGTGGCCCTCACGGTGTCTGCTTATATGCTCGAGTTGATTCAATGTCGCCTCCAAGCACCGCAAGCAGCAATCTTTTACTGTCGGGTCACTGCATGCATACTCATTCTGGAAGACCGCCAGGATGTAAGGCCGGTAAATTATTGTACGGCAGGCGAAGTAGCGAAGCCTTAAAACAGTCTGAATGGAGCTTGATGTCGGCCCCCCAAGGGGGAAGCGGACAGGCTGAGGAAGGCTTTCATACCATTGAGAAAGCTGGAAATCTAGCTCTGAGGCGATAGGACCGAGTGATGCGAGTGTCAAGATGCTGTCTTTTTGGTAGATCATATGACTGACTCTGTTGAGCAGCCTTCTCAGGGCTATTTCAGCCAAGAAATACCAGAGCTCATCCTGACCTATCATCACATCTACTATCTTCTCTCCAAGTCGTATGCTTCCTTCGTCTTCTTCGTCTTCTTCATCTTCCAGTTCAAAGCCCCCAGGGAGATCGACGAGCTCTTCAAAATGCACAATACCCGAGTGTGGTAGGTCTAGTTCTGCAAGCAAATCGCTTTCAAATAGTAAGGTGTTCCAATACACTCTTGTGCTGAGCTCCTTCCATTGCCCTGGAACACGAGAGGGGTTGCCTAGGAGTAACTGCAACTTCATGCTGGCATTTGATAGTAGAGTCCACGCCTCAAGGGGCCTGACCATGTAAAATAGATATGCAGAAGCCAATATGACACATTGCGCTGCGAGCACCGAATTGCGGGTCATGACAGCCGGCAAAAGAGCCCAGGCTGCGGCGAAATATGGTAGTCCTGGAAGTTCTTCATCTGCAGAAAGGCACGATATACTCCCAGATTGACTGGCACTGCCCAGTGCCAAAACCAAAAGGACGACGCAGCTCTCTGGCCCTCCCTCGAAGTCCAGAGAAAGAGCCTTCTTGTAATATCGGGGCCATGTCAGTGGGTTGACACAAGCGTACCAAATATTTACGCGTTCGAAAAAAAGTTGAGCGTGAGTAAGTGCGTTTGATACATCTAGGTTCACGGGAGGTTCGAGCCGAAGTGGCTCACGGGCCATCTCTAACTGTAGAAGGGTATGAGGATCATAAGGGACGGCGACCAATTCTCTGATTAATGGCCACTGTAGAAGGTGTAAAGCTGGTGTAGTATGTACTCTGGGCATAGTTGAGATACTCGTCGGTGGATTTGCCCATGAGCCAAGGCCCACCGCGATTGACCTTGTAGGTATGTTGGCGAAACTGACAACATCATCACCACCTATTTGGACAAGGTTGGCAGCTGTGGAAGAATTCGATGACAGCGGAGACTGGCTGATGGGGTCTGAAAGCTTCGACTGAAGCAAGACTTCTATCCTGTTCAGCTTCTCGATAATCAGTTTGTCACCGGCATCTAGTTTGATGCCTGGCTCACGATAAACACAGTCTGCATCCAGGTCTACGCAGAGCTGGCATCTTGGGCGGGCTCCGTTACATCTCGTTTTCCGCAGACGACAGATCTGGCACTGAAGCAGCGTACGCACATTAGTATCATTTGTGTTTGTAGCAGAGCTAGTACCAGGGTGGCACTTGTTCAAGGTTACAGAGGGGAGGGGCATCCAACATACGGCTATAGTTGCGCGCCTTCGGGGATACTCGGTTGCTTCAGAGTTGTTGCGCTTTCTTGCTAGGGTTGAATCGAGAGTAGCATCGTTATCGGGTTCTTGAGAAGACATGGTGCTTTCAGCCCTCGGTGCATACGAAAACGCTGATCCCGGACAGGGTACGGCTTCAGCAACATGAAGCTAATGGTAAGGCCCAAAGATGTGTTGTTGTGCTCAAGGAGGCACAGAGAATGCCGCCCGCGCGGCCACTGGCAGCTGTAAATGATGTGACTAGGGCTGTAAAATGGCAAAGATGTCAATGGGCATTTCTCAATCGAAGTGCATGGCAGTACAAGTAGAGTTGCACATACGAGACAATAACGTTTAATAAATGCGGGGAAGAGACTCCCAGGGGCTGGCAGCTGGCGCCGACATGGGGGAACATAAGACAGTAATCTCTGCCTATAACGAGTAACTTAATCAATGCTACTAGCTATGTGCTTTACCTACTTCGGCACGGAGCCTACTCGCCGCCCGTCAATGCCACTAGCAGGTAGTATTTTGGACAAATACTGTTTATTGGTGGACCGAGGCATGGAGCCCAGCTAGAGTGCTTCGCTATGGCTATCCAGTAACTAGTCACGGAAAATAGTATGTGAAGCTTTCTACCTCACGTCTATCTCCCTATATGTTGATTCAATATAAAGTCAAACGCCATATCCCAGCAGGTTTATACCGCACTCCGAGATTCAACACTGCGGACTTCGTCTAGGCCTGTGCCTGAGCGGCTATTCTTCCCCAAGCCAGTGCCTCTCTCTGGGTTGGCGCTTGTCTGTTCATCGCTGCTTCTCAACGTGTTGTAACTGCTGCCGGCAGCATTGGATTGGCGAGCTGGCGCCTTTCGGTCTTCGCCGTCATTACCTATGGACGCTGTTGCAGAGACGTTGTTACTGGTGTTGCTGAGCTCAGCATGAGGGTCGAAAGTTTTAGTAGTTGTTGGACCAGCACTGCCAGATATAGGGATCACGCCTGCAATACCGTTGACTTTCTCCCCAGTGATGTCGTCATCTTCATTCCCTTCGAACCTCTCGCCTTTCTTTTTGTTGGTATCTGTGGTACCGGCATTAGCATTGGTGTCACGACCGCCATCTACGCGCGAGTCAGTCGCGTCCCTAGCATTGCTCGCCTGGGATTCGGTGGCCGTTGACGCAGGAACTTCGTTGCCATGTCTAGACTCAGCAGGGTCCGGCATACTGGTCTGAGACTGGTGCATGGACGAGCCATGTTGGGGATAATGATCTCCTGTGCCATGGGCGTTGCTAGCCCTATAGCTACTGTCTATGCGCGGCTCGGTGTTGTCCTCGATGTTGTCAGGCTTGAACTTATTGGCCGTCGATGACGGAACTCTGGACCCAGGAGATGACTGGGTAGCAGCCAGCATGGTTTCCTGGGGCTGATGGCGAGGGGAGACATTCTGAGAGCTCTGGCCGGGCTGTTCTCTTGTGTTTAAGAAGTTGGTATTATCATAGTTGTTGTCCATTTGCGGGCCAGATTTCTCAACGCCGCTCGACTGGAATCCGGCAACTGTCGGCGTCGAAACATTGGTGCCATATGATAAGTCGGTTGATCTCGGCGTGTTGTATTGAGACTGGTGAAACGGTGACGCGTGCTGCGTGGGTTGTTCCCTTTTGTTGCGCAAATATTGTTCCTGGGCCGGGTTTATAGCACCTTGGGCGTAAGGGCCAGTACTAGGTGAGGTCCCAGAAGTACGGTCGTATGGATTGCCGGTAGCAATCCGATCAATGGAGTCAGTGATATTGCTTGGGTGGCGATTTTCGGATTGCCTGGTGTGGTTCGCATTGTTGTAGGTACTGACGTTAGGACTGAGGTCTGTCGCGCTTGTACCGAAGGCACGTTCGGTTGCCTCGACATTGTAAGAAGGATCATCAATGGGGTTCATGATGTTGGCCATTTTTGACAGTCAAATCAGAGATGTACACGAGTGTCTTGTTATATCAGGTTTTGAATTGGAGTTGAGGAGGGAAATATAGGCATATACACTAGATATATATAATTGATTGTCTTGTGTGGAAATTGTCCATTGGCTTGGTCTGAAGGCATAACCGTTTAAGTATTTCTCAACCTCCCCTGCGTAGTGCGTGAGATGACGTCGATAGTAGTAGGCTATCTTGATTAAACCTGTAATAATCATGATATCCCACGATGAGCTTTTACGTAGTTGTGGATGTCGATCCAGACAGGGACCATGACGTAAGTCCATGCCACGGTAAACAATTCGCTATTGATCGGTCCAAAGTACTAGTTAACAATTTCCAAAATTTATCAGTAAATACTAGCCACGGTGAAACAACATCATTCTCAAAAAGTATTACTGTCTAAATGTGGGGATTAACTCTAGTATGCTGTCATAGCTCCTGAGCTCACTTATCGACGTTGGGTTTCCATGGTCCCCTCCCTACAAATGGGATCGGGATGACGTGCATAGTAACAAGTAGATACTTCAGTAGACTATTTCATAGTATTATGTACCTTCATGTACTCCACAATGTGATGGAAAGGACATCTTGAAAGCCGAGATTGGAATAATCATCAGTCAGAAGGTTGTACCAAGTACAATAATTATTTGACTAACCAACCATCAGAGTCAAGTACTTTGTAAGTAGGTAACAATTGAGTCTGAAAGCCACATGAGTATAGTTATTTGGTAAGTAAACCCCTGCCCTTGCTGTACTGGACCTGTGAATGCCAAGAGTGAAGTGATACCTCAAAACATTAGAAATCACAAAAAATTGGGGAAGCATTGATTGTATTAGAGGTTAGTGGTTAAATCATGCCAAAAGAAGTAGGTACGTATGGATCCACCCAACGCACGTACGTAGTAGCACACACGCGCGGCGCGCCTGGTTTCCCGCCAAAACAACGGGACGCGCAAAAACCTCCATAGTGATTGCGACTGTTTGCAATCTATTAAATAACCTCCCCTGTTCGTCAAATACAACACAGGGCCATTCTCGAACTTGTCGCATACGTATGGCCTGTACACACCGTATTATCCCAGATTATACCTATTTCGAAGCCACAGAAGACACTCTGTAGGCGTTAACTGCCTACACAGAGTCCCGTTCCATACACAGGTCCTTCGTGTGGTTGAGCAGGGCACAGCACCAAATACAGGCCCGCCTTTCCCTCCACTTCGACCTTACCACTTACAAGTCTACAGTTCTAGACACAAATCGCAGAATGCCGAGACCGCCCACAAAACGCAATCGCTTGACATCTAAGGCTCCGCCAGCCGCCGAGAATGATAGTCATCAGGGCCCCGGACGGCATGGCATATCCTCAGAAGCAAATACCAAGTTCACAGAAAATGCAAACCAGATCATCACGGATTTTCCTGAGGTGGGCCAAAGCGGCCAAGCCTCGGAAATCAGGCGGCAATTGAGGAACCAGACGCCTTTAACGAGAGCACAAGAACATGCGATCGAGTCCTCGCCCATTGGGGACCGTGAGACCACAGGCAGTCGCCCGGCTACGAGAGCTCGAGGGTACTCGTCAACCCTCTCTGTTGTCGGGAGAAAGGGCGATACAGGCTCTAAAGTTCCAGGAACTCCCGCATTTGAAAGCTCGATATTAAGTAACTTTAGAAGGAGGCCCCGGCAGCCGAGCATCATGCAGATGATGCAAGCAGAGGACGGTTCCTCTGACCTTGATGATGATGATGTTTTCCTCGGTAGTTTGAGTCCGGAAGATGAGTCCACCCCTTTGAATCTCTCAAGGAGTAGGCCTCTCCCAATCCGACAAACTGCGTCACCATCGCCTAGGCATCCAACTCCGTCCAGTGACGGGTCGCGCAAGCGTAAACTGTCTGGCGAAACACCACATGCTTCTCAATCGGACTCGGAAGTTACCGAGAATTCTCCTGCCACATCGCCTACATCACAACGGCGACAAAGCGGGATTGGTGTGTCAGTTGGTCATACTCAATACCCGGATTCGCCTGGTGCACTCAGCCAAACGCTGGCCCCTCCCATGAGCAGCAGCCCGCCACTCAGCCCGACACATACGGAGTCACCACGTGGATCGGCCCAGCAGAAGCATATAGACAAGCCAGCTGAGCCGGCAACCACTAATAAGCTGGTCTTACCAACGTCAGCCCTTCAAGACAGGCTTTTACCTCGGAGAAACCGCTCACAACGTAAACGCTTTGGTATGGACGGTTCTGAGATCCGGGAAGATCCAATTGATGGCGATCAATCCGCCACTGAGCAGGATGACGACGATGACGAATTGTACTACCTACCGCCCAAACAATCATTCCGGGCACCAAGAAAGCGCCTGGTGAAACAGAAATCTGCCAAAAGTACCAGGACTGTACAGGGGGCGCAACCAATGGCAGATAGTGTCGAAGGCCAAATAATAGGCGGCCAGCACCCTGCTGCTCAGCCGAATGCCACGGCCAAAAAGCCAGGAGATAAAAGAATGACATACAGAACTATGGGACCTAATAAGGAGAACGAGCCGGTCGATACATCGCCTTTGTCATCTCCTTTGTCGTCCCCGCCAGACTCAGAGGAGTCCGAGTCCGATTCCACTGCAGAGTCTACCCTGGGCAGCCATTTCCTTAGCGATGAATTGAGATTGCAAGCAAAGAAGTTTGCGGATGTTGATAAATGGGAGTTAGAATTCGAAGACGTGGCACCCGACAGCCAAGGCAGTGAAGTCTTCAGATAGCGGACACCTCTATAATTGGTGCTCACGAGATTAGTTTCGATTAGTTATGGGATCAACTAGTTATCTAAGCGAATGGTCAGATTTGTCTGAGTAAGGAAGGAGATAGCCGCGCTATTGCGATGATAACCGGCAACAGAGTCCGCCAAATTGAACCCCGCAAATTGACCCCGCCGAATTCAAATTCTTCGACGCCCATGGTTTTCCTCCTAACAGTCATTTGATTCGAGACCGCATTTGAACATCCACTTGGAAATCCCAATCATGACTACCTTGAATTCCATTCTGGCAGGACGATACCCTGCCAAAGCCCATGCCCGCCGGGTTGCCGAGCGTCTTCAAGTGGGCGGCTCTGCCCGGCATGGGATTATTTACCTTGAAGCACAGAAAACTCGGCTTATCGAGGATAATGATGAGGCGATGCACTTCAGGTATGGCAGCTTATATTAACTCTGTTCCGATGCTCTCCTGTTGCCACTTGATCGCTTAAAACTTGCAAAGCTAATCAAGCTTCATTGGCCCAGACAACGCCGATCCTTTTTCTATTTGTCGGGCTGCCCGCTCCCAGATTCGTCTCTGATCTACAACATTGACTCTGATAAATTGACCCTGTTCATCCCACCAATTGACCCGGAGGATGTGATCTGGTCAGGTCTTCCCATGTCTGTTGCAGAGGCACTGAGACTCTACGACGTTGACCAAGTGCTATACACTACCGATGTGAATGCCACGTTGGCCTCGATCGCCTCAAATGGAAATGGTAACTCTGTTGCCTTTGTCATCGAGGGCCAGATTACAGAAGGAATCAAATTCGACGGCTTTCACGAAACCAATACCTCGGTATTGAAGGGAGCCATCGACAGCACGCGTGTGGTCAAAGATGAGTATGAGATCGCGCTCTTGAGAAAGGCAAATGACATCTCCGCAAAGGCGCATATTGCTGCCATTGAAGCATCCAAGACCGCCACCAATGAGCGTGAGATCGAGGCGGCTTTCATCGCAACCTGTATTGCCAATGGTGCCCGTGATCAAGCTTACCATCCCATCGTTGCCTGCGGCCAGAACGGAGCCACTCTTCACTATGGAAGAAATGATGACAACTTGGATGATCCAGCCACCAAGCAGAGGAAATCTAGCGTTCTTATCGATGCTGGGGCGGAGTACCGAACATATTGTGCTGATATTACGCGTGTTTTCCCTCTGGGTGGAAAATTTACCTCGGAAACACAGGAAGTATACAAAATTGTGCTACAGATGCAGTTGGAGGCTATTGCAATGTTGAGAGAAAATGTGCAGTGGGAAGATGTCCATGCGCATGCCCATCGCATCGCAATCAAGGGCTTGCTAAAATTGGGGATCCTACGTGGCTCTGAAGACGAATTGTTCGAGAAGAGGATTAGCGTCGCCTTCTTCCCCCATGGCCTAGGCCACTACCTGGGCATGGACACCCACGATACTGGTGGTAACCCGAACTATGCAGATAAAGACGCCATGTTCAAGTATCTACGCGTGAGGGGCCGTTTACCCGCGGGATCAGTTATCACTGTTGAACCAGGTGTAAGATTTCCTCACCCTTTTCGATCTTTTCCTTGCTAAATAATCCTTTAGATCTACTTTTGCCGGTTTATCATTGATCCGTACCTTACCTCCCCCGAGACCAGCAAATTCATCGATACGAATGTCCTTGAGAAGTATTGGAATGTTGGAGGAGTACGCATTGAAGATAATGTGCACGTTACTCAGCAGGGTTACGAGAATCTGACCACAGCGCCAAAAGCTATAGAAGAAGTGGAGGTTCTAGCCACTTAGGGATTATCTGATGAATTCAAGGTTATGGCTATCTTGCTTCCTCATGGTCCAGGAGCTTAAGCACACAGTTTATAGAGCCCTGTAAAAATTGACTTTCGCCACGTACTGATTTTAGTAAATATACATCATATGTTGCTAGGTAACCAGCAGAAGGCCAGGAAGGGTAGTGACTTCGATGGTAGCAAATCACGACTCGGAAAATTTCCGGAAATATGCCTCCGGACAGCTGCATAGAGCTGGCATCTGGATGGGCACCAGAGGCAAGGACACACGAGATTGGTAGAAGTACCATAGTCGCACTGAGCCCTGGGATAAAGTGCAATATAGCTGAAGGTTGCCTGTGAGGCAATGCCAAGAGCTCGCTGGGGACAGATCGCGGGTAATCAGGTGAGTTCTCATGTTATACAAAATGACGATGTACCGCTTTGGCTTTCTGCTTGGAGCCGTGCAGAGGGTTGCGTCATTATTGTCCCCCCTTATCCGGTGTAGGATTCAATCAAATCTCTGAAATTATCGTTTACTATAGCCCACTCCGAAGTCGTTTCCGTCCGCTTCCTTTCACGGCCGACTCAGACTCAGCCTTGTCCTGGGCACGCTTCTCCTTTTGATCGAGGACAAGACTAAGAACATCGAAGCTGAATTGGGGAACCTCAATACACAGCTTTCGGAATTCCTCTTCAGCCTCGTGGCGGAGAATGTGGCTCCTCAGGGCCCAGAAGGTGGCCACTGGCTTTCGAATAGTAACATCGTCGACCGGAGTGTTCATGTAGACATAGCGAGCATATGCGATCTCTCCATGCGAGGTGCTGTTGATACGGTGAATCTTTGAGTGTGCTAGTGTTTTGAGCGCAGGGATCCCCAACTTGTCGGCCAAGGTGTATACTCGCGCATGCTTCAACAATTGTTCGCCACTATCGTCTATTTCGCCGGAGACTGCTTCTTGTTCGGTAGTTGTTTCAAGCTGGGAGGCCGAATAATCGCGGGTATACTGAAATTGGAGGAAATAACCAAAGGCTTCCACATTCTCCTCGGGAAGCTCAATGCGACGCTATCGGATATCAGAGCGCGGCTATGCGGAAGAGTAAATCGCATCAATTACTTACAGCGCTCGATTCACCCAAGGCAGTGACCTTCTCTGCAAGAATAGGCGACTCCAAAAGCAAACTTTGATGTGCCGACAAGCTAGTTTTGCTCTTCCCAGTTCCGACGACCAGTTCCACGATAGGTGACTTCAGGAAGCTGGAATACTGTAAGTTCAAAGGTCATGTAGAGAGACAGAGCATGCAAGCGCGGATATCAAATAATCGCATTGAAGAAAGGATACGGGCCCTTACTCAAGGAATTGGAAGCCAGGGTTTTTCTTGGGGGGTGCTGGTGCCGTTTCTGGCTCAGCTGCGCCCGCGTCTGGTAGATCGATGTCTTCCGTGGAGTCTGCCTGGCGTTCGTTCACTCCACTTGAAGGCGCAGTTACATCCACGACACGGTCGCCAGTCCTCTGTGTAGGGTACGTGCTTTCGCTTTCTTTTCCGACGTTCGAAGAGGTCTCCGGCGCGCCCACTTGAACCCTAGGCGCGTCCATAATCTCGTAGAAACTCAGATGCGCGTTGGGATATGAAGTTCCAGCTACTGCGGCTAGACAAAGAAGGAAGGGGTAGCTATTTGAGAGGATGATCAATCTGCGGCTGAGCAGCAGAGACACAAATGTCTCAACAAGACGGATAGGAGGATGAACCGAGCGGTTGTAGTTCTGGGGTCAGGACTATGACAGGAACACAACAATGTCAATGTTATCCGTTAGTACTGATGTGGTAAGGTACGGTTAGCAAGCTAAGCTAGGCCTGAAAGGGACTTTTGATAAACATGAAAAGTAGGTTCCTTTACAGTAGATGAAAACAACGTAGTAGTCATTTCCCGACCTGTTCAGTCTGAGACATCCATTTGCTACTAGTACGTAAAAAAAATATGCGAAAGAAAAAAAAAAAAAGATTACCTTTGTGCTGTAGATAGTAGATAAGGTAGGCCACGGCTCAATGGTCCCTAGTACATGGCTTACCGTGCAATTGAATCGACTTAGTGGATTTGGGTTCCACTTGGTAAGGTCTTCTCCAATCTCCATAGTAAGGACTCCGTGCGGACTCCGTACCTGCATGGTAGGACAAAATCAGGCCATTAAGCAGCGACTGAGTTCCACGCTATCCAACTCTACTCCATACAATTCATTGCCACACAAGAATTATTAGTAGCACTCGTACTAGTTATACGTACCGGTTCAACGGTAGTTACTACTTTGCAATGTTCAGTAGTACTAGTAGCCCCTTCCTGCTGCCAAAACGACTACTCTGTTATTCTTTTGAAGAAGACGTGTGAAGTCCTAGTCCTCGAGGACGTCTCTAATTGACAGAAAGGTCTATCATCTGCAGTATATCATTGATGCGATGTGAATATAGATATATAGAAATATAGAAATACATATATAGAGAGAGAGAGAGAGAGACTTGTATAGGTAAACACATTTTGACACCAAGAGTAAGTCCAGTTATACACTGGGTACAAAAGGGTATAAACAGCAAAGGAAGGCGGAGGAGGTAATAGTAGTATGTATCATCATCAAGTGCGGGGCAGGAATGTCTTGGAACGTGAATGTAACAGAAATTGAGAAAGAGACCCAACTTGGGAAGAGACCCGAGTCTTCCGCCCGTAGAAATCGGGTTGATAGGATGGTTTCCCCCTCCCCCTAGTAGTCCCCTCTAAGTAGCTAAGCTAAAAATCCCACCCGAAATAAATACAATAATAATAAAAGAACGGTAGGAGGATAAGTAGTGAAAGAATTTTTTTACGTTCTCTTTTCCATCCAGTCGTCCGGCCGGTAATATAAGAGGGGCACATGCAACCTACTAATCCTTTCACTTTGTTCTGGCGGATTAGCTCCCCACGAGTTCCCAGCTTTACCGGTCTGAAGGCCAACGTCAACTCCTCGACTCAAGTCCGGTGGTCTCTTCGACTGCCCCAGATTCACAGACGTAGTATGGCGACTAGCATCCACCCCCCCAGGGATCCTAATACCCTGAGCAACTATAACAACTGGATATGCACCCACATCACTGCCAACTTCGACATCCTTTTTGATCAGAAAAAGCTCGTGGGAAATGTCATCCACAAGCTCAAGTCAACTACCAACGGTGATTCGAAGGAAATTCTTTTGGACTCTAACCATGTCACAATCGGAGACGTCAAAATCGATGGCAAGCCTTCTGACTGGGAGCTTCTCCCTCCGTTGGAACCTTACGGCTCTGCCTTGAAGATCAAGCTCGATCAGGGAGTGAATTTGGACGAAACCATTGACGTTGAGGTACATCTGAAATTCTGAATACCAGAACCTTCCTCGCTGTTACTTGGCCTAACACTGCAGACCATTAGATCTCCGTTCAGACTACTGAAAAGTGTACCGCACTCCAGTGGCTGACCCCGGCTCAAACATCCAACAAGAAGCATCCATACATGTGTAAGCCAGTTCGGCCTTTCTCCCGCCCAGTATCTGTCAGAATTTCTCAGACCAGGCGTGATTGTTAAACTCATTGGAGCTGCTTACAAGAGTCCAATCTAGTTTCCCAGTGCCAGGCGATCCATGCACGATCCATATTTCCCTGCCAGGATACGCCGGATGTTAAGAGTACCATCGACTTCAACATCTCGTCCCCCCTTCCTGTGATTGCTAGTGGCTTGCCTGTTCGGGATGGCCTGGGGGTCTCGAAATCTGAGGGCAGATCTTTGTACCAGTTCCATCAACGTGTCCCAATCCCGAGCTACCTCTTCGCTCTAGCCAGCGGGTAAGCCTGTCGTCTATCCACTAATATCTATCAGTTGGCTCACGAATGACAGTGACATTTCAGAAGCTCCAATTGGACCCCGCAGTGTTGTGGCTACCAGCCCCGACAAGGTCCAGGAATGCCAGTGGGAGCTCGAAGCAGATACGGAAAAGTTTATCGGTGCAATCGAGGTTTGTGAGCCGCCTGGTGCAATGGACATCTCTGACCAAGACAGAAAATCGTATACCCTTACGCCTGGGGCGAATATAATGTCCTGATTCTCCCACCAAGCTTCCCTTACGGAGGAATGGAAAATCCCATCTTCACGTTCGCCACTCCCAGTATTATTTCTAAGGTACGTATAGGAACTGTCTTGTGCAATGACATGCTGTCTGATGCTAACTGAGACGGGATAGGACCGAGAAAATATCGATGTTATTGCCCACGAACTCGCGCACAGCTGGAGCGGCAACCTCGTGACCAATGCATCCTGGGAACATTTCTGGCTGAACGAAGGCTGGACTACCTATTTAGAGAGGCGGGTAAGCTTGTTTCCCCTGCCCCTTCCCGCCGGCTGAGGCAGCTGATCCTTTCTTTTTGCTAACAACGCTATAGATTCTAGCTGCCGTGTGAGTTTAGCATCATGTTTTGCCGCTGTAACCAGTTACTAATCAAAACTAGACATGGGGAGGCATATCGACACTTCTCCGCCATTATAGGCTGGAAAGCACTCGCTGACTCCGTGGAGCATTTTGGGCATGACCACGAGTTCACTAAATTGATCACGGACCTCAAGGGCAAGGACCCCGATGATGCTTTCTCCAGCATCCCCTACGAGAAAGGATTTAACTTCCTCTTCCACCTGGAAACACTTGTAGGAAAGCAGAAATTCGACCGCTTCATCCCTCACGTACGTTACCTAGGGCTCATAAGCAAACCGAACCTACTGACTTAATTTTGATCTCTTAGTACTTTACGGTGTTCAAGGGGAAGTCACTAGACTCCTACGAGTTCAAAGCGACTCTCTTGGATTTCTTTGACGCTGACGCAGAAGCGTCTAAACTATTGAATGATCTCGACTGGGATACCTGGTTCTATGCCCCTGGGCTACCTCCGAAGCCTCGGTTCGATACATCACTTGTTGACGTTGTTTACGAACTTGCCCAGAAGTGGAAGTCCCTTCCGGAGATCTCCTTCAAGCCGCAGCCCAGCGATATCGAGAACTTGAGCGCAAACCAGATCGTCGTCTTTTTGGAACAAATGCTTCTCCTTGAGCAGCCGCTTACTCCTGAGCTGTCGAAGCTCATGGGCGAAGTTTATGGACTTTCCAAAAGTGAGAACATAGAAGTCGCCAATCTGTATTTCCAGGTGGGCCTGAAAGCTGGCGATGAGAGTGTTGTCGACCCTGCGACCGAACTACTAGGCAGAATTGGAAGAATGAAGTTTGTGAGGCCATTGTAAGCTGCCTTGCACCGAAAAGACAATTTATGGCGCTGACAGAGCAACCAGGTTCCGGAGTTTGCAGAGAGTTAATCGTGAGGTTGCAGTCGCAACTTTCGAGAAGCACAAGGACTTCTACCACCCTATATGCCGAGCAATGGTCGAGAAGGATCTCTTTGGAAAGAGGGACGTCTAGCAATATAAACGAACCCATCGCCCCCTGACTGATTCACATAATGGACCAAAAAAAAAAAAATAAAGTTGAACTCATACCTGAAATAATTTTCCGGCAATGTCAACTACGCTTATTAGCCACGATAGTGATAGCAAATAAACAATTACTTCTCCACAATACATGGAATTATGCAAGTTCAAAGCCCAATATGTTACATTACAATCAGTAGACATGATAGTTATACGTACAAAAGGCGAACAAAAGAGCGCCGACGGGTAGTTTCTAGCTTACAATGTCACCGTTTGCTATCGACCATCTTCTGATCGACTTCGGAATGAGAGAAAATACCCGGCTTCCCGTTCCTTTGCTGGTCCAGTTGGAAGACCAAGTCCGCTTCGTGCACCTGGTTGAGTTCGGAAAGTACTCGCCGCATATACGCAACGACCTGAGCTATCTTCGACCAATCCAAGTCCTTGCCATCTGGTGCAGTATAACTCGCCTTCCAAAGGTTTCTCCAAACGGCAGCTCCCAGCACTGCATCTCCCTTAACTAGGCCTTCATCGTAGGCTGCCAAAACACCGCGCCATTGGATAAAAAGATCCTTGAGGAACTTATTGCGTATACCGCGGCTCGTCAACCCGTGAAGCACATCCATGCGATGCTCGGCACTATGTGAGAAGTGGTCGATCAAATGGCGTGAGTAGGTTTGAAGGCTATCATGCGACGGCAACGCGCGCAACCGGACCGTCAATAAGTACATGTGCAGGAATGTAACCTGCGACCATGTCGAGAAAGTAGGAACGAGACCCAATTCTGGTGCATGATGCTCGTTAGCCACGCACCCCAAGGTACCACGTCACACCATCCCTGAAGATGAAGACACCTAAGTAAATTTACCTTCATACCACCATCCTTCACCTACTCCCAAGTCTTCCCCGGCACTTGTCTTGGGAACCTGAGCTCCTTTCTGAGACAACTGAGGTATCTTGTAGTCTGCTTGTCTGGAGCAGGCCTCGAATAGCTTCTGTGTCATTCCGTAGGCGACGTAGGTCTCTGCTGCAGTACCAGGGCGCGGCCCGATCGCGCGAGCTAGCTGGGAAGAATTTCGCCGACTTTGCGAAGGAAGAGCGAAGCATGAGGCCAGCGGTTGTTGCTGATGGCTAGTGCAGCGGTGAGATACCGAGGGCTTCGAAGCATGAATCGATGTTAGAAGTGACTGATTATACGCCTGTACCTGATGTTATTGCCTTGTCAGACGAAATGTTATTCATATTGTCCTCTGTGCCAGATGAGGCCGTACCTGAGGCCGCGGGCATTGAAAATTGTAGAGCCCCCGAAGGGACAGGTTTTTCGGGCCTGCGGAAGGCATTGTTGATTGTCTGTATAGCACAACCTCCTAGTTGGTTCTAGCCACGGCTTATACCCGTTTGGATCGTACGGGGCCTTGTTGAATGAAAATGTTAGATGGGGGTCTTCCTTGATTACAATCCGAAAACTCGAGACTGCTCCATACTCCGGAGAAAGCTAGAAGCCCGCGAGATCAACGATGTTTGCACTGTTTGCCGCCAAGCGTTCCCAGTTTATCTAACTAGCTAGTACGTCACGACTACTTCTTATCAACTACGATCCCTACCATATTTAGTGGAATGTGACAAGCATAGGTAGGAGCGCGGTTTTAAACCATGAGCAGGATTGCCGAGTCTCCAGAAGGATAGTAAATAACCATTCTGTCTATATCACCTACCCCATTACTATGACGCTCTTTCGTAAACAAGGCCATGGTATATGAGCTCTACCATGATAGTATCGTCATATATCATTCAACGTGAATCGCCGGGCTTCGATCGATACTATACCTAAGGGCCTTGTCTCACTGAGTGAAGATTATCGCAACCAGGTCACCGCGCGTGGTATTGCCTCGACCGCACACTTCATTTATCCAGACTACTGCTGGCATGAGTTGCCCTGAGTAGCACTGAAGCGACTCAAATCACTGAAGTAGGCGGCATAAATCTATGTGGTGAGATAGAGCGGTCATCCATATTCCGGTTGCACTTCCTACAACCAGTTGGAGCCGTGACTGTGAGTTGGGCCTCAGTGCGTGGTAGATGGGGGTAGACTGTGGTAGTGAGTATCCATTGTATTGGTGCTTCATTCAGTGAGAGCCACCCTCTCTAAGCGCTTTTCGACAAGCGGGAGGATTTCCGAAAGCCTATTAGGGTCTCTCATGACGGCCGGTACATCGTCCCTGGTCGCTGCTAAGGTCTGAAGACTGATTAGTTCCCTGAGCCACTCGAATCGGATCTAGTACCCAAAATCAGAGGATGCGACAAGCTTACCCGTCTTACCGCCTCATATTCACATTCTCTAGACTGATATTCTCTGATGATCTCCATCTCATCGAAGTCAACGTAGACTCTCGTGTCCCGGAGCCGGAACAGAACGTTGTCTAGCCGCATGAAGAACCTCGCAAGGAGAAGCAGCCTAGATGGCATGACTCGGATCTTGCATGAAAACATAGTGATGCCGTTATCAGCAAGTTCATCCTCGTAAAGAATGACGTCGTCATAGAACAAGATAGGGTCGGGCCGCTTCAACAGTTCGATAGGGATGGGTTTCGTTGTTGCTATGAAAGGCCGACTCCCAGGTTTCACTGTGCCCGTGTAGTCCGTAGTGTAAGACCAATCGAAAGGTTTGACAACTTCTTTGATTCCTTCGTGAGTCTTCTCCCTAACAACCAGTCAGCCACAAATATGTGCGAGTTGACCTGTGAGGCAAGCAACGATGATGCAGTACCTGCTCTTCTGCCATTCTCTCGAGTACGCGACTTTGAGCATCGATGTACCAGTTTTGTCCACACGATCTAAGGCGTCGAAGGCGTTGAAAGCTATGCCCCACGGGCTTTGTTCATGTTCAATCGCAACAAAATTGTCACCGAATATCATTTCTGGTGGGGTTATTCCTAGTTCTTTCGTCATTTCCTCAATTGGATCCGCCTTGAGTATTGGCAGTTTCTGAGTGATGATTTTGAATCCTTTAACCGTCACGGAATTGGGCTTCTGAAAGCTGGGCGAAGTCGCGGTACTCGCCATATTCGCTGACGCCGCGTTGCTACGTGAAGTCATGCTATATTATAATGAGTGGGTGGCAAGCGACAGTGATGGCATATACACAGGCAGGAGAGAGAATATGGGGATATGAAAGGAGTCAGAAAAGAGAGAATGGGTCCTTTTGATTCACAGGTATGCATCGTCGGCGTCCCCCATGGCCGGCCGATAGATCATACCCCGCGGTGTCGGAGAAAGAGGCGGTCCGAACTGTTGCTGGGGTGATGTATCTGGAAACCAAACCGGATAAACATCCGAGCGTCGCTAGAGAGCTGCCAGTTCTCCCCAACCTTATTTATCTACTCACTCGTTCTCCATTATCCTCTTCCAGCTCGTCATCTAGACTGCTTTCTCCTCTATAGACTCTCTAGGGCCTGACTATGACTTTGTAAGGCACGATAGTCCTGATAATTGCCTGCAAGCCTCGTTTAGCTCTTTTCCTGTCGCCAATCACTGTCAATTACATTTTTCTCCATGGCCTCCAAGACATTGGAAGCGCGCCTCGAGCGCCTTTCCGTCAAAGACGAAAATGACAGCGGACACAATGGCGGCGGCTACCCGAAACCTAAGGTATGAGTCCTGGAGTACGCCTTGTATAGTACATGGCCTGTTAATGCCGTACATCAGAGCTCCCTATCAACAGCCATGTCTCTTTCGGGCCTTGGAGCTGCAGGGCAATATAGCGGCTCCAATCGATCCAACCTGCTGAAGCTGGCTCTTCAAAATACCAATGACAACAAAGTCAATGCCATGAACGTTGCTCAGTCCCCTACAAAGGGCTCCCAGAACACTTTACCGAGTCGCAACCTAGATGAGAATGGAGAACAACGACACCCAAACCCGCTATATGAGCAACCGGCACCCAAGAAACTGCACCTTGGAATGTTTGAGATCGGAAAACCTTTAGGAAAAGGAAAGTTTGGTAGGGTGTACCTGGCCAAAGAGCGGTCCTCTGGTTTTGTATGTGCACTCAAAGTCTTGCACAAATCTGAGTTGCAGCAGGGTGGAGTGCAGAAGCAAGTCCGCCGGGAAATCGAAATTCAGAGCAATCTTCGTCATCCGAATGTTCTAAGGCTTTATGGGCACTTCCATGACAGCAAACGGATCTTTCTGATTCTTGAATTTGCCGGTCGGGGAGAGTTATATAAACACCTTCGCAAGGAACATCGATTTCCTGAATGGAAAGCTGCTCAGTACATCGCCCAAATGGCTGCTGCTTTGAAATACCTCCACAAGAAGCATGTCATGCATCGTGATATCAAACCCGAAAATATCCTGGTCGGCATCCACGGGGAAATCAAAATAAGTGACTTTGGATGGAGTGTACATGCACCCAACAACCGGAGGCAAACAATGTGTGGAACACTGGATTACCTGCCTCCCGAGATGCTCAAGCCGGGCTCACAGGACAATTACTACAATGAGAAAGTCGATCTGTGGAGCTTGGGTGTCTTAACCTACGAGTTTCTTGTTGGAGAAGCTCCCTTTGAGGATACCCCTGTTATGACACAGAGGCGGATTGCAAGAGCGGATATGTCGGTTCCATCATTCGTGAGCCCTGAGGCAAGGGATCTTATCAAACGGGTATGTGAGGCCCAGCCGCCCCTTAAGGAGTAATTGCTAATGCCTTCTAGCTCCTTGTTCTGGATCCTGAGAAGCGAATCTCTCTTGATGAAATCCAGCGGCATCCCTGGATCCTTAAACACTGTGTTAAGGATGAGCGAACCGTGAAGCGCAGTTCTGGTTCTGCTTCGTCGAAAGATACCAAATAATAACGTAATACTTATGCATTCATGGCGCTTTGGCGTTGAGACGTGTGTCTTCTCTGTCACTTCAACCAGTGGCCTTCTTGTGATTGGGTTTCGTGCGGAGTGCGTTGAGCATGCTGGAGTTCTATGATTATCTGCTTTTTGCGGCGTCCGGTCCTTTGGCTCTATTATTTAATGATATATCTTTGCAGGTGGCGTAACAAATACTATATACACATGAGTGGCCTTTATCGCAGGATTGCAGCGCTCGAAAAATAGTAGTATCATCGGTAGATCTCGTCGAAGGGTCGGGTGTCTCTAAAACAGCTGTCCCATACTTCATTTACAACCTTCTCTGCATGGGCTTCATCCTTGCATGTTGGCCTTGCTCGTACAGACAGGATAGCTCTTCTTCTAACACACTCTTGATGCTGCTGTGTAAACTTCCACTGGCCCCTCCGGAAGAACTCGCGCGCCCACCGACATTCACCGCTGAGGGAGCTGGCTCGAATCTGTCTTTTGCGTCAGCCAATGGCTGCCAATTTCAGGTGATTATGATCTTGGGAGAGTTCATACCTCGGTACAAGCTGCGTGCCGCAGATTGTTCATCCAGTCAACTTTGAATCTGAGGTGATCGTAGGCATGGACCATTTCATGAGCCATTGTATCCTCCAGATGTCCCTGGTCCTTCATCTCGTTTGCGCAAATTAAAATACCATAATCGGGGTCGAAGCCTCCAGCTTTTCGATTGGTACATCGGCGACAATAAATATTATGGCTATGAAGGTCTCCCCCAAGCTGTCGAATGCTGTCACTCATGAATCGGATTATGGGACCTTGTGATTCCTTGGATTAGCTGTAACCCTGACTAAGTACCCAAGCCCTGGGAATCCGCGAAGAGGCAAAGGGAAATAACTTACTGAACTGTAAGAGATAATCGCGCTGATCCTCGCAACGTTTACAATCGGCGGCCTCATTCCGGATATCCCGAGCAACACGGAATTGTTCTTTCCCTTCATCTGTCATTCGCCCTGCTAGGATGGAGAAGATATTGCGCCATTGCGTCCAGGTATCGTCGCCCGGTATGTAGCCCGTATCCTGATTGCCGGGTTTCGAACCGGTATTGGGAGCCTCTGAAGCCGACATTTCGCCTAAAAATACAAGGACGAGAAGCCAGCGCAGTGAAATGGATACGAAAGAAGCGCCGCGGAAAGATCGTCCTGGCCGATTCCGCCATCAACTCTCCGCATTGGCGGTGAAAGATGTGCCTGGCAAAAAATAGATATTCCCCGGAAAATCACACACGGCAAATGGGATGCCCGATCGAGCTACAAAGACTAGCGCAGCCTGTCTGACATCGTCGCGTCTGGGAGGGAGGTCGGATACCGCCAATTGCCAGTGTCGCCATCAGATGGGTGATTCTGTGAACAAGATTCCTGATTAAACAACTCCAACTCCACTTCACAATGGCTTCCAAACCTCTCACGATCGTTATCAAGCTAGGTGCGGGGTAT